TACAGCATCTGGCCATTAGAATATAAATGCTGATTATGAATTTCATATATTTTGATTTTTTGCCCCTACATATAGAATCACATTAAAATAGCAAATGCTTAAAAAATACTCTGATACCAAGCTTCTTGTTGTTTATTGGACTAGTGAAATATCTGTTTAGTCAGTTATTATCCAAACATGAGTTTACAAAATCAACTGTGCCTTTAGACTTGACTTGAAAAGGCCTGGGTTACATTAATTGAAGAATTTAGGTAGGTACAGAAAAAGCTGTTAGTGTAAACCACAATGATTAAGATTGAGATGGCTAATAATCTAACTTTTAATATACTAATTAGAATTTTATTAGCTAACCAAAGGTTTATCCAGGGACATCCCTGTAGCCATGTCAATGAAGATGTGATGGTCATTGTATAAGATGTAGCCTGAACTACTTTTCAGAGCATCAAGTTAGGAATAACCCTTAAGGAACTAAAGATGGGTTATGTGGAAGAGAGGTTTTTGAAGCTGACATGGATCGTAGATATCACAGCTTTGCTTCTTTACTCACACACTCAATTTGTGGCTCTGGCTGAGAGATGGAAGTATAAATGAGTTGTTCTGAGATTTGAGGGCTCACTGGGCAGTCAGTTCCACAGTACTGCATGGAGGTGGGTGGGGGCAGTCATTTTCTTAAACCCTTTGTTTCTCTCTGCACTTGTTCATATCTGTCAATAGGAGGGAAAACCAGGAATCAGATCATAAAAGAAATATGATGCAACTGGATTTTAAAGGTGTTTTATAGGAAAGGAAGAAATTCATTCCATAAAAATAAGTCCTAAAATTACCCAGCCCATCTCCCAAAATAAATTATAAATTGATCAACTGTCGTATTATTTTTGGTGACCTCAAATGAGTTAGCAGCTCACAAAAGACAGGGGGGAAGGACATGGGATTTCTTTTTTTTTTTTACAGATTATGTTTTAATGATAGATTTAAATATTAAACTGTAGCTATTTCCAGCCAATGGAGTAATTCTCAACTTTTACTAATACTTGATAAATTAACAACCTTTATTTTATTTTATTTTTTATTAAGGTATCATTGATATACACTCTTATGAAGGTTTCACAAGAAAAACAATTCACCCTTATTATCAAGTCCCCCTCATACCCCATTGCAGTCACTGTCCATCAGTGTAGTAAGATGCCACAGAGTCCCTACTTGTCTTCTCTGTGCTACACTGTCTTCCCGTGATCCCTACACACCACGTGTGCCAATCATAATACCCCTTAATCTCCTTCTCCCTCACTCCCTACCCACCCTCCCACACAACCCCTCCCCTTTGGTAACTGCTAGTCCCTTCTTGGAGTCTGTGAGTCTGCTGCTGTTTTTTTCCTTCAGTTTTGCTTCGAACAACCTTTATTTTTTAGTAGATATACCACAAATTCTATACGTGATACAAGTGAAAGGCATGGAATTTCCAAGTGTGCACTATTGGTTGAGTCATGTTAGCCTGTATTTTCAGTAAGTTATTGTGAGAAGTGGGCCAGATGTAGAACTAGGTTTATTTTGTTGAGGTGTCTCTATCCTAATTGCTTTCCATCTTGGCTGATCAACAATCACCCATGAAGCTTTGAAAAAAATCGCCATGCCATTGACATCAGAATCTCTCTCTTTTTTTTTTTAACCTCTCCTGGCGACTCTCAAGTGCAGACCCAGAGGGGAACAATTGCTCTCTCTTCAATCTCTTTGAGTGGTCAAAGTGTGGTCTTCATACCAGCAGCATTAATGCCATCTGGAAAACCATTAGAAATGAAAATTAACATAAAGAAGCCACACATATTCAAAATAGAAACTCTGATACACTGTGGCTTATGGATGCCCCCAAGAAATCATCATCAAGATCAAAATAATGATCCATTCCTTCCAGAGGTTTCCTTGCAGCCCTTGGTAATCTTTCCCTCTCTTCCTCCTAAGCTCTAGGTGACTGCTGCTCTGCTTTCTGCCAGATAGATTGTTTTTCATATTCTAGAACTTTATATAAATGGAGTCATAGACAATGTACTTTTTAAAAGTCGATAGGCTTTTTGAGCAGTTTGAGCTTTATAGGAAAAAAAAATGAGCAAAAAGTACAGAGAGATTCCATATATCCACTCCTTCTCCCCCCTGCCTCACCCAATTTTCCCTATTTTTGCTTCTTGTACTAGTGGGGTACATTTGTTAGAATAGATGAGCCAGTCCTGTGGCATTATTATTAACTAAAGCCCCTAGTTTACATTAGTTTCACTCTTTGTGTTGTACAGTATACAGGTTTTGACCAATGTAAATGACATGTATCCACTGTTAAGGTTTCATACAGAATTATAGTTTTACTCCCCTGACAATCCCTGTGCTCCACTTCCCTCCCTCCCTTCTTCCTGGCGACCACTGATCTTTTTAGTTTCCGTGGTTTTACCTTTCCCAGAATCTTCTATAGTTGGAATTACATAGTCTAGTCTTTCCAGACTGGCTTCTTTCACTTAGTAATATCCATTTAAGTTTCCTCCATGTCTTTTCATGGCTTGAGAGCTCAATTCTTTTTATCACTGTGTATGGATGTACCACAGTTTTGTTATACATTTACCTGCTGAATATCATCTTGACTGCTTCCAGTTATAATTGATTATGAAAACTGCTGTGATAAACATTCACGTACAAGTGTCTGTGTGGATATACATTCTCAGCTCATGTCAACCCCAGGAGCATCATAACTGGATCATGTAGTAAAAGTATGTTTAGTTTTGTAAGAAACTGCCAAACTGTCTTCCAAAGTGGCTGTTTGGCATTCCCACCAGAAATGAATACAAAAGTTCCCATTCTCCATTCTCCTCAGTATCTGCTGTTGTCAGTGTTGTGGATTTTGGCCATTCTAGTATCTTGTTATTTCAATTTGAAATATGGTGATTTAATTTATGATAATGACATATGATGTTAAGTATCTTTTCAAAGCCTATTTTCCATCTTTATGTCTTTGGTGAGGTGTCTATTCCTATCTTTTGCCCATTTTTTAACTGAATTTTACATTTTCCTTATTGACGAATTTTAAGAAATTTTAGTTTATTTTGGATACAAATCCTTTAACTGAAATGTATTTTGCAAAGACTTTTTTTTTACCCAGTCTGTGATTTTTCTTTTCATCATTTTAGTGTACTATTTTTGACCAGCTTCTTTCACTACGCAGTTATTTTCAGAATTATCCCCATGCTGTTGCATATATCACTAGTTCACTCATTTTCATTGTGCAATAGTATTCCATTTTATGGCTAGACCATAATTTTCTTATCAACTTGCCTATTGATAGACATTTGGTTGTCTCCAGTTTTTAACTATTAAAACAAAGGTGCTATGATGTTCATGCAAAAATTTCTATATCAACATACACTTACATTTTTCTTGTGTAAAGACCTGGAAGCAGAAAAGCTACATTTTATACGGTAAATGTATGTTTAATTTTTGAAGAAACTTCCAAGATAGTGCTTGTATCATTTTACACTTTTGCCACAGTGTAAGAGTATTCCAGTTCATCCACTTCCTGCTTGCTAACAGGTGGTGTGATCAGTTGCCTTCATTTTAACCTTCAGATAGGTCTATAGTACCACCTGGCCTTGAATACTGTAGAGTCCTAATTTCTGAAGTCAGATAGAATAAGTTCAACTTTCTTCTTATTTTTCAACTTTTAGAGGAAGAGTGGAAATCAATATGAAAAAGATAAAAACAATGTTCATTTCTTGCTCTCTGTCTCTCTTGAACAACAGTTTTCAATTCGCTATCCAGGGACTCCTGGAAGTTCACTTTCTGGGTCTCTACAAGGTCAATATTCCTTTCATGATAACACCCAGATGGTTCCTGGGTTTCTCACTCTCATTCCCTCCAAAGTGTGCAGGGAGGCTTTCTGAGACTACACATGTGTAATGTCATGGTTCTGGTACCTAGTAGAATGTGTGCTTTTGAATCCTTGTGTTTTTAAAAAATCTTAAGGTTTTTTTGAAGATGGTAAACATCAATACATTGTAACCCATTTATGCAATTGCTCTTTGGGATTCTCAGTGATGTTTTAAAAAATTTAAAGGGGTTCTGAGATCTAAGATCTAGAAAATATTAAAGAAAGAAAAGTGGTATATAATAAAATGTGGACAGTTTAGAAATTGACAACAAGGAAGCAAATATTTCAAAGTGTTAAGAAATGGAATGCCTTAGAAGTTTACTATACATTCTCCTTCAAACTACAAAGGGGAGGGAATACAAACACATCTCTGCATACTGTTACTAGCCCTTGAGACCTGACTTTTTATTCTGCTGTGGGCAAAATTCTGGTTTCTATACCACTATACTTGTCTCATTGCCTTATTCCTGAGTCATATTTAACCCACAGCCTCTTTCCACTGTGCTTGGTCAGATGGCGCATTTTTCAGAGTTTATGAGAAGCTGCCACCGGCTAACTTGTTTCCAGTAGGAAAATGTCACTGCAGGGACTGAGAACAGCTATTTGGATTGGTAGTGAAGCCTGCTCTGGGTCTCTGAGAGCTCCAGTGGCTGCTGGGATGCTCCCAACCTAGGAAAACTTAGTTATTGACAGAAGACAGAGCCCTCATGATTGTCAGAGAGAATGCAATGGTTTTGTTTTCCCATGTCTCCTGGCAATCTTATTTGTTAATATGTAGATGGCTTAATATGAATGGAAAGAGTATTTCTCGAATAAAGAATTTCACCTCTAGTTTAGTACCTTATGTAGTCAAGTATCTTGTACAGTGGTTAATATAAGGATGATGCCCCTTAATTCCCACATCAGTACTTCGGCCCTCTCACATCCATCTGCCTGCTCAGTTTGTCCTACAAGACTGAAATTTACAAAGCTAAGGGGGAAACAATTCAAGCATGGCAATGAAGTCTTTGCTTAATAATGCTACTTGACTGTATTTTGAGGGTACCACCCCAGTTTCTTCTGCTATTAATAAAATTATTCTTTTAATGTCAAAAATCTTGTGCTTGCTTTGGCAGCACCTATACTAAAATTGGAATGATACAGAGAAGATTAGCATGGACCCTAAGAAGAAAAAAAAAATCTTTCCAAAGTACCAGTCTAAACTATAGAGCAAATGAAATAAAGTCACATTCTTTTGAGACAGTAATTAATGTTCCTAATGTTTTGTGCAGACCTCTAACTTGCCATTTATTCTAACAGTGACAATGTTCATTCTTCTTCATATTTTTTTTTTGAGAGGGCATCTCTCATATTTATGATCAAATGGTTGTTAACAACAATAAAATTCAGTATAGGGGGGGTCAATGCTCAATGTACAATCATTAATCCATCTCAAGCCTAATTCTCGTCAGTCTCCAATCTTCTGAAGCATAACGAACAAGTTCTTACATGGTGAACGAATTCTTACATAGTGAATAAATTCTTACATGGTGAACAGTACAAGAACATCACAGAAACTTTCGGTTTTGATCATGCAATATGACCTATAAACCATCAGGTCAAATATGAATATTCATTTGATTTTTGTACTTGATTTATATGTTGATCCCACATTTCTCCTATTATTATTATTATTTTTATTTTTAATAAAATGCTGAAGTGGTAGGTAGATGCAAGATAAAGGTAGAAAACATAGTTTAGTGCTGTAAGAAGGCAAATGTAGATGATCAGATGATCAGGTGTGTGCCTATGGACTAAGTATTAATCCAGGCTAGACAAGGGCAGCAAGACATCCACGGATGCAGAAGATTTCTCTCAAAGCAGGGGGGGTGAGGTTCTGAGCCTCACCTCTGTTGATCCCCAAATTCTCACCTGATGGCCCCCCTGCGACTGTGCCTGTCTTAGGTTGTTCCTCCCTTGAGGAATCTTACCCGTCTCTGGCTAACCAGTCATCTTCCGGGGCCATACAGGGAAATGTAAAGTTGGTAAGTGAGAGAGAAGCCATATTGTTTGCAAAGGTTAGCTTTTTACTTCTTTGCAGATTTATGCCCTGTGGCTTCTATGCCCAGCACTTGTCTCGAGGTATCTTTACCACCTGGAGGAATTATGATACTCGGTAAATTCGATATGAGGCACGAATTCTATTTAAGGTTTGTAATTAGGAAGGAAGAAGAAAAGCTATAGATGTAGCATATGAAGGAAACTTGGGAGGATTGATTATTTCTTTGACATATCTTCTTGTATAGTACCTTAAGTATGTATAGGTTTTAAACTACTAACTAATTTGCACACACATATTAACATAATAGGAATACGGTGACATAAACAAAGCAAATCTATAATTACCAGCCATCTCCAGTGAAGCCAAGAAAACCATTTAGGCACCCTAGGCATTTGTGAAAATTTATCTATGATATGATGGATATTTTCCAACTGTACTTGAACCATCAGACAAATTAAAGCAGCCCATTTCTGGGATCTGTTCACATCCCATATGTTCTTTTAACCATAGATAGTCTATAGTCATGAGATTTTGGGGTGCTACAACTTGCACCCCTCCCAACTCCTGGTTGAGTTCCAACAGTACAGATCCAGTCAAATTCGTTGTCTCACTGTATGCACATGCCAGCCTAGACATCTCCCTCCTCCTTCTTATGGCAAGTCCAGGAGATGGTGGGCTGGATGCAGCCACAACCGCAGCATCGTCCGGATCCCTGTGGAGGCTTTTTGATGATCATCCCCCGGCACGAGTCCTCCAGAGAGTGCTGATGCCGGAAGCTCCTCCTCATATCGTATCTTAGTTCATTTTCTGGGTATCCAAGCTAGGCCTTGATCTTCTGCGTAGAAACAAACAGACCCTTTGCCCACACTTTGACATGCCCTCTATACCACTGTGCAGAACTCATTGGAGGTCAGCACACAGTAACTTTTTTTTTTTTTTTTTTTAATTAAGAGAAAGGAATATTATCAGAAAAGAGTACCTCCATAGCTGATCATCTGACACCCTTTAAGTGATCAACATTAAGGATATTTAAAGCATGCGTTGATCTTTGATTTACCAATAGTTTTATCCTGTTAAGGAGTAATCCCCCTTTTCTTTCTTTTTTTTTTTTTTTTTTTTTTTTTAAATTTTTAATCTACACTTACCTGAAGAATACTATGTTTACTATGCTCTCCCCTATATCAGGTCCCCCCTAACAACCACATTACGGTTACTGTCCATCAGCTTAGCAAAATGTTGTAGAGTCACTACTTGTCCTCTCTGTGTTGTGCAGCCCACCCTCCCCTTTCTCCCTCCCCCCATGCATGCTAATCTTAATACCCCCCTTCTTCTTCCCCCCCCTTATCCCTCCCTGCCCACCCATCCTCCCCAGTTCCTTTCCCTTTGGTACCTGTTAGTCCATTTTTGGGTTCTGTAATTCTGCTGCTGTTTTGTTCCTTCAGTTTTTCCTTTGTTCCTATACTCCTCAGATGAGTGAAATCATTTGGTATTTCTCTTTCTCCGCTTGGCTTATTTCACTGAGCATAATACTCTCCAGCTCCATCCATGTTGCTGCAAATGGTTGGATTTTTCCACTTCTTATGGCTGAGTAGTATTCCATTGTGTATATGTACCACATCTTCTTTATCCATTCATCTACAGATGGACATTTAGGTTGCTTCCAATTCTTGGCTATTGTAAATAGTGCTGCGATAAACATAGGAGTGCATCTGTCTTTCTCAAACTTGATTGCTGCGTTCTTAGGGTAAATTCCTAGGAGTGGAATTCCTGGGTCAAATGGTAGGTCTGTTTTGAGCATTTTGATGCACCTCCATACTGCTTTCCACAATGGTTGAACTAATTTACATTCCCACCAGCAGTGTAGGAGGGTTCCCCTTTCTCCACAGCCTCGCCAACATTTGTTGTTGTTTGTCTTTTGGATGGCAGCTATCCTTACTGGTGTGAGGTGATACCTCATTGTAGTTTTAATTTGCATTTCTCTGATAATTAGCGATGTGGAGCATCTTTTCATGTGTCTCTTGGCCATCTGTATTTCTTTTTTGGAGAACTGTCTGTTCAGTTCCTCTGCCCATTTTTTAATTGGGTTATTTGTTTTTTGTTTGTTGAGGCGTGTGAGCTCTTTATATATTCTGGACGTCAAGCCTTTATCAGATCTGTCATTTTCAAATATATTCTCCCATACTGTAGGGTTCCTTTTTGTTCTATTGATGGTGTCTTTCGCTGTACAGAAGCTTTTCAGCTTAATGTAGTCCCACTTGCTCATTTTTGCTGTTGTTTTCCTTGCCCGGGGAGATATGTTCAAGAAGAGATCACTCATGTTTATGTCTAAGAGGTTTTTGCCTATGTTTTTTTCCAAGAGTTTAATGGTTTCGTGACTTACATTCAGGTCTTTGATCCATTTTGAGTTTACCTTTGTATATGGGGTTAGACAATGGTCCAGTTTCATTCTCCTACATGTAGCTGTCCAGTTTTGCCAGCACCATCTGTTGAAGAGACTGTCATTTTGCCATTGTATGTCCATGGCTCCTTTATCAAATATTAATTGACCATATATGTTTGGGTTAATTTCTGGGGTCTCTAATCTGTTCCACTGGTCTGTGGCTCTGTTCTTGTGCCAGTACCAAATTGTCTTGATTACTATGGCTTTGTAGTAGAGCTTGAAGTTGGGGAGTGAGATCCCCCCTACTTTATTCTTCTTTTTCAGGATTGCTTTGGCTATTCGGGGTCTTTGGTGTTTCCATATGAATTTTTGAATTATTTGTTCCAATTCATTGAAGAATGTTGCTGGTAATTTGAGAGGGATTGCATCAAATTTGTATATTGCTTTCGGCAGGATGGCCATTTTGACGATATTAATTCTTCCTAGCCATGAGCATGGGATGAGTTTCCATTTATTAGTGTCCCCTTTAATTTCTCTTAAGAGTGACTTGTAGTTTTCAGAGTATAAGTCTTTCACTTCCTTGGTTAGGTTTATTCCTAGGTATTTTATTCTTTTTGATGCAATGGTGAATGGAATTGTTTTCCTGATTTCTCTTTCTATTGATTCGTTGTTAGTGTATAGGAAAGCTACAGATTTCTGTGTGTTGATTTTGTATCCTGCAACTTTGCTGTATTCCGATATCAGTTCTAGTAGTTTTGGAGTGGAGTCTTTAGGGTTTTTTATGTACAGTATCATATCATCTGCAAATAGTGACAGTTTAACTTCTTCTTTACCAATCTGGATTCCTTGTATTTCTTTGTTTTGTCTGATTGCCGTGGCTAGGACCTCCAGTACTATGTTAAATAACAGTGGGGAGAGTGGGCATCCCTGTCTGGTTCCCGATCTCAGTGGAAATGCTTTCAGCTTCTCGCTGTTCAGTATAATGCTGGCTGTGGGTTTATCATATATGGCCTTTATTATGTTGAGGTACTTGCCCTCTATTCCCATTTTGCTGAGAGTTTTTATCATGAATGGATGTTGAATTTTGTCAAATGCTTTTTCAGCATCTATGGAGATGATCATGTGGTTTTTGTCTTTCTTTTTGTTGATGTGGTGGATGATGTTGATGGATTTTCGAATGTTGTACCATCCTTGCATCCCTGGGATGAACCCCACTTGGTCATGGTGTATGATCCTTTTGATATACTGTTGAATTCTGTTTGCTAATATTTTATTGAGTATTTTTGCATCTACATTCATCAGGGATATTGGTCTGTAATTTTCTTTTTTGGTGGGGTCTTTGCCTGGTTTTGGTATTAGGGTGATGTTGGCTTCATAGAATGAGTTTGGGAGTATTCCCTCTTCTTCTATTTTGTGGAACACTTTAAGGAGAATGGGTATTATGTCTTCTCTGTGTGTCTGATAAAATTCCGAGGTAAATCCGTCCGGCCCCGGGGTTTTGTTCTTGGGTAGTTTTTTGATTACTGTTTCAATTTCTTTGCTTGTAATTGGTTTGTTTAACTTTTGTGTTTCTTCCTTGGTCAGTCTTGGGAGGTTGTATTTTTCTAGGAAGTTGTCCATTTCTTCTAGGTTTTCCAGCTTGTTGGCATATAGGTTTTCATAGTAGTCTTTAATAATTCTTTGTATTTCTGTGGAGTCTGTCGTGATTTTTCCATTCTCATTTCTGATTATGTTGATTTGTGTTGACTCTCTTTTTCTCTTAATAAGTTGGGCTAGAGGC